CGACAGCGAGCGGCTAGTGTGCAGTAGATTCGACTGCTTCGTGATTTTGCGGAAGAGGGAGCTGCGCTTCTTGCTGGGGTACAAAGAAGGGTCCATCTACCGTAGACTAGATTCCAGAATTCCTGGCTCCTCCCACAACAGCCCTTGGGACCGCCCACCACTTGGCCCCACCCACTCCAGCTACAACCCACTTTATCAAGGCGGGAAGTTCACCTGACTCAGTTCACCTGACTCAGTTCCTCTCACTCAAATCCCCACTTATGACTTGCCCAGGCCAAACTCACAGATCAAAACAGAACCTCCTGGCCCCACCCACCTCTCCTAGCTCCTCCTACCTACAAAGGAGAAATTATTTCAATTGGCCCAGTCTTGCCTGGCATGCTCATGATCCAGATAGAAATCCTTTCCTAGTTATCCAAACACATCCAACAGGGAAAGACCATCTACTGAACAGCACCATCTCTAATCCAGATCTGCTGGTCTTGCCCACCTGCCCAAGACACTCCCACAATGCTTTTCTTCCAGCCCAGGAATCTGGCACAGCTTCCTTTACTGGCGCCTTCCACTTTCCCAAGCCCTCCTTCTCTGTCCTCTAGGTTTTGCTCTTTCTTTACTCGGTGGCCCGCACACTTCCTTCTCCTGTTCCCCCACCTCTCCCACTTTAGCCCTGTCCACAGTTCAAAAGCTGAAGTGTTGCTGCCGCCTGCTGTGTATAGCCCCACCCACTGCATTTGGCCCCACCCACCTCTCCTGGCCCTCCTTAGCTGAGGGCCTCTTGTTCCTCCGAGCCATTTTGGCCTTGTAGCTGCTGCGCCTCGCAGGGCCGATACGGATAGAGGTATTTTCGAAGGGCGTTGTGGTCACCGCCACCTTGTTGCCACTCTGGGGAAAGAAGGGTGGCAAATGAGCTGCTGCTCAGGCAGCTCTAATTCCCAGAATATCCCCTCTCCTTTCCCCTTCCCCCAGTGTGCTCCCCGCCTTGCACTCACCTTAAGGATCAGCTCCACAACCTCAGGATGCACCATGCCATGCACAGGCTCCCCATTCACGTGGGTGATAAGGTCTCCGGCACAGAGCCCCGCCTCCTGAGCTGGGCCCCCCTCCTCTACGTGCTGGAGACAGGGCACCACACAGGAGCAGGGTTAACAGGATCGGTTACGAGAAAGCTCCCTCAGCTTATGTGCCAGACACCGACCTCTGTGTGCACTGTGATCCTTATAACACTTTATGAAATAGTAATTATTCTCTCCAGTTTACAAATGAAGAAACTGAAGCTCAGAGGGGGAATGGACACCACGGGTCACAGCAGTTTCATTCAGGCCGCCTGGCTTCCGAGTTTGAGCTGTCCCTCATTCCTGGGCGGGCCTTCTCTCCCCTCACCCCCGACCCTAGAACAAAGACTTCACCCATGAGTGCTCACCCAGACAATGTGGTGGACACTGTAGACATCCGAGTCACCCATGTAGACGCGGATGGCACGCAGGGTAAAGCCATACTTCTTGCCTGAGCGTTGGATGGTGATGGGGGAGCGGAGCCCACTGACAGCCGGTGAGTAGTCCCGGCTAGGTGAGGAGTCCCGCGAAGATGGGTTGGAGGAGAGAGATCGTGGGGACATGGGGCTGGCCAGTGGTGAGCTTCCGTGGGGGTCCACTGCAGACACAGAAGCATGGTCAGAACTCAGGGCCAGCAGACACAGCTCTTTCTGTATCTGCAACTCCCTCCTTCCTAGTCAAAGTCCCAGGGCTCTCATTGGTCCATCCCAGTGCCAATCACTGTAGACAGGGAAAATGCAGTGTTTTCATTGGCCTATCCTGGCACAAATGGGGCAGCCCCTCCCCTGACAGGTGGGGCACAGCATCACCTGCAGGAATCATGACAGACAAGGCTGTAGCCGAGGCTGACTTGATGACTTTGCCCCCTGTTCGAGAAGGCCGCTTCTCTGCTGCGGGGTCCCCTGTTAGCTGCTGGTGGCGCGCCCGGCGCAGAACCAGGTCATTGGTAGCCCTCAGGCCTGATGGGTCCCCGTCCTTTGAGGGTGGGAGGAGGTCGCCTGGGCGTGGGCTGTCAGCTGCAATAGAGGAGGTGGGTTAGGAGTCAGTCCAAGGTCATAGACTTCTTGCATGCTGTTCCCTCTGCCTGGAATGCTTTTCCTACTTCTTGCTCTTGTTGGAAGGGGAATTTCATGAGAGCAAGTAGCATGCATCTAGCACAGCTCCTGATACAGAGAAGTGCTCAGATATATTTGTTTACTGACCAAGTTTGGAATACGGGGTGTTCCTTGTGTTGATGAGAACCCAGACTGGAGTATAAAGAGTACATGAGATCTTGCATAAACAGTACCAGGCTCATTAAAAGTTCAATATATGGTCACTGGGGAACTGGGGAAGGCAGCAGGAGAGGGCACTCACTAGCCTCGGGGTCCCCGGAGCTGGCAGTGCCATCCCCTTGAGTTGCCTCTTTAGGGACCCGCGCATCCAGCGAGCCTGGGGGATCAGAACTGGGCCGAGGAGGCCTGCGCAGCCGGGCCTCATCCTCGTCCTCTTGGGGGACGCTGAAGCGGCTGGGCTCCAGTAGTGCGGAAAAACGACGGCGCGCGCCCAACGGGGGACTGGCCTCCCCCTCCAGGAAGCTGGCCTCAGACGCTGAGAACCGCTTGCTGCTGAAAGGGGGCGTGGTTAGAGGCGACTCGCCCCTTCCGTCTCGCTTCCAAAATCCAGCCCTTCCTTCCCCTGCTCACATCTCTGGGGAGCCGCCTCTCCAGGTCTTCTCGCGCAGGGTCAGGCCTCCCAGGCCCTCCCGCTTGCCGGATACCTTCTCCTCTGGGCCCTTAGCACTCGGTTCCCGCTTGCTGCCCCCCGCTGCCGCCACAGGGGTCTTAGGCTCATGCTGCGACAGCTGTTCCATACTACTATACACCTGCAAGAGTCGGTGGGGGGCAAGTTCGGCCCCCAGGTCCCGCCTTTGCTCCCGAACCAACCAGCTTTCCGCTATTTGACCCGCCCAAACCATGCACCTCCCTCCTAAGGCCGGGCCCAGCCCAAATTCTGGATCATTTCTCCAACCATCTACAATTTTTCAGCTCAGACCCCACCCCACAATTAAGCCCCGCCCTATTCTAGACCCTGCCCCACCCATACCTTGAAGAATTGGCTCTTTCCTGCCCCCACCTTCCCAGGCCCAAGTCAATCATGTGTACCCCAGGCTAGGCCC